TAAAAATAAATGAATTTCTGCGAAGAATTTGATTAATTTTGAAAATAATTAAACTTTCTCAAAGAATTTTATTGATTTTGAAAATAATTTAATTTTTGCAAAGTATTTTATTACTTTTCAAAAGAATTGAATTCTTGTGATGAATATTGATATTTATCAAAATAATTGAATTTTGGAAAAGAATTTTATTATAAAATTCCTTAGAATAATTGATTTTATGAGAAGAATTTATGCGATTTTGTTGTTTATCAAGCTAATTGAATTGTTTTGTAAAATTACTTAAAAATTTTTGAAAATAATTTATTTTCTGCGACGAATTAAATGTTATTTATGAAAATATTTGAATTATTGCAACGAATTCTATTGTTTTATTGAATAATTGAATGTTTCTTAAAATTAAATTCTTTCCTCAAGTTTTAATAAATTTTTCAATAATAATTGCATTTTTCAAGGAATTTATTTAAAATTGTATTAAAAATATTTGAAATTCAGTGATGAAAATAATTGAATTCGTAAATGAAATTTTATTATTTATGAAAATAATTGAATCTTTTCGTAGAATTGTATCAAAAATTTTTTTCTATAATTAAATCTGTTGATAAATTTTATGAAAATAGTAAATATTGAAAATTATTGAATTGCAAAAAAATTTGAAAGTAATTGAATTTTTGCAAAGATTTTTATAAATTTTTGAAAATAATTGAATTTTTGGCGAAAAATTTTGCTATTTGTATTTTTTTAAAATAATTGAATTTCTTCGAAGAATTTTATTACTTTTGAAAATAATTGAATTCTTTGGATAAATATTGAAATTTATGAAAATAATTGAATTTTGTAAAGAATTTTATTAAAATTCCTAAAAATTATTGAATTTATGTGAAGAATTTTGTTATTTATCAAGATAATTGCATATAATATGATAATTTAATAATTTTCATTATCATGAGAATTTTCATCGATCATAAATTTCAAGATTTGAAACTTTCAAAACAAAAGTTTCGAATTGAAAGTTTCAACGGCACTTTGCTAAATTTGGTGTGAATTTATCATTAAAAGATAAAAGAAAAAAATAGAGAAAATTTAGGGGAAATTTTCAAAATAGGGTACGTTTAGGGGCCAAAGTTAAAAAAGGGGACTTTTAGGGAAATAGGGGACAGACTGTGAAGCCTGCGCATATTTTTTTTAAATCAGAATAATTTGGAAATTGAGGTGTGAAGCTAGACTAAAGTAATAGTCGTCAGGTGGTCGCCTCGATATTAACCCAGAGGGGGTCACGGCTGAGACTTACGCAAGAAACCAATAAATATTGTTAATCGTCGATTCTAATATGAATAGAAAAGGATATTGCTCAGCAGTTCATAATGGAATTTTTCTAAAATAATCAGTGACCTCTCTCATGGGGTTGCGGCCTTTTTTCTCGACATTCTGGCATTGCTGCAAGCAAAACGGACATTTAATAATTTATATTGAGAACGCCAATCGCAATTTCCAGGCTTACAATGGGTAGACTATTAAAACAAAAAAAAAAATGAATATTCTTGTTCTACTTTTTTAAAAATTCTATACTATTTTTTTTCTCTCATTCATTCTCCTCTTTCTGGAACAAAAATTGTTTTAACTAAATTATGAATTTTCCCCTCTCTCTCTCTCTCTTGCAAAACAAAAAAGGCATTTTCCTCAAATAGAGGCGGTACTTCTTTATTTTTCTGTTATTAACGGTTGCAAATTGAAACTCTATTTGAAAATGAGTAAACGAGACCACCTCCCTAATTTCTGATCAACGTTCAACCATGCCCGTCGAATTGGGGCAAGCCATAATCAACCACCGTGAACTGTGTTGTGTGTGTGTATGTTGTTCTCGAACCGATTATATTCACTTTGTCGAAATATTGAATAAGGAAAAAAAATAAAGAACTCGGGAAGTTATTATTCGTTAAAAAAATATTTTTGTATAGTATTAAGGCATCCTTGAGACGCTTAGTTATTAGAATGATATACCAATGCATTTGTATAGCGATGCAATAATAATACAGTGTCATCGAGGCTTATGTAAATTCCAAGGCACACACTCAGATAAAAATTCATGCCTGCGCCAAACCAAGGTCTTAATTCCTTTTCCGGCGCTTTTTACGAAAAAAAAACACTGGCAAAAATTCAAAAATCACTTTTTTGGCAAAGTTTTTTGTGAGTTAAATATTAAAATAGATTAGTAGCTGTACTAAATGCTTTAAATACCTTTTAAATATTTTAGGTTTCATTAACAATAATCAATAATAATAAAAATTACCTATGCAGAAAAAAACAAGTGTTATTTTATCATTTATTTATTTCTTATTTTTATTATTTTATTTATTATTTTGCGTTAGAAAATTAGAAATACGTAAAGTTTACAAATTTTCCCTGATTTAACGAATTTGTATAATCAGAAACCAAAATTCTATTTAAAAGAATGAAATTCTATATAGTAGGGACATTTTTCTAGAATCAAAAGTTTTGGGTGAATAGTGTTTTAAAATTTTGCTCAAATTCATGAAATTTGGATTAAAAAATCAAAGTTTTGTTGAAAAGATTAATTTTTTGAATGAAGAATGAAATTTTTTTAAATCAACAAAAATTTGTTCTTAATCTATATATTTTTGATTGAATGAAACAAATTTTTAATTAAGATTTAAATGATTCGTACAAAATTCGGATTTTAAAAGCAATTGTAATTAAATTGCAAACAAAGAAATACCAAAAACCATTTTGAATTTAAGTAACTTCTTATTCTTTTCATTTCTCTTTTGTAATTAAATTTTTTTCTTCAAACATAATTTTTGGTTTTTAAATCTAAATTTCTTTCATTTATTTAAAATTTCTTTGCATCAACTAAAATTTCGTTGAGTCAACCAAAAATTATGTTTTTCAGCCAAAATGTTAATATTGTAATCAAAATTTTTGTTACATTGACACCAATAAAATTTTAGTTTTTAATACAAATCTCGTTTTTTCAAATAAAATTTCGATGTTTCTTTCAAAATTTCAGTGTTAGAAGAAAAAATTTAAGTTTTTAAAACAAAATTTGTTGCTTCAAGGACACTTTTGGTTTTACAATGCAAATTGTTTTTTTTCGGTTTTTCAACAGATTTTTTTTACTTTTATCCAAAAATTTCTATATTTTAATAACAATTCTGGTTTGTAAACCAAAATTTTGTTCTGTCACACAAAATTTTGGTTTGTCAGTGGAAATTTAATTTTTTCAACTAAAATTTTTATGTTAGAGTCAAAATTTCAAACTTACAATCAAAATTTTGATTATTAAACATAATTTCGTTCTTTCACAAAATTATGGATTTTCAATGAAAATTTTCAACCAAAGTTTTAGTTTTTCAATCAAAATTTTGATTGTTATTACGAAAATGTCATTCTGTTACAAAAAATTTTAGTTTTTCAATTAAAATTTTGTTCTTTCAACCGAAATTTCAGTGCTTTACTTAAAATTTTGATTTTTTAATGTAAATTTTGAGCTTTCGAACAAAATTTTGGTTTTTATACCAAAGTTTCGTTCTTTTACACAAAATTTTGGTTTTTCTTTGAAAATTCAATTCCTGTAACAAAAATTTAGAAGTTTGAATAAAAATTTCAGTGTTTTAATCAAAATTTTTGTTTTTAAACCAGAAATTCGTTCTTTTAACCAAAATTCCAGTGTTTCAATAAAAATTTTTGTTTTTAGACTAGTATTTCGTTTATTCGTACAAAGCTTTTGGTTCGTTCTTTCAATCAAAATTAAATCTCGATTTTTTAATAAAAATTTTGTTGAGTCAACAAAAAATTTGTGTTTTAACTAAAATTTTATCATATCAATTTGTTACGCAAAATTTTATTTTTTCAATTAAAATTTTGTTCATTCAACCAAAATTTTAGTGTTTCACTAAAAATTTTGATTTTTCAATGTAAATTTTGAACTTTCGAACAAAATTTTACTGTTTCAATCAAAATTTTTGTTTTTAGATAAGAATTTCGTTTATTCATAGAAAACTTTTTTTTGTAAAATAAAAAATCATAAAAAAACTCGATTTTTTAATCAAAATTTTTTTGGTTCAACAAAAAATTTGTGTTTTAATTAAATTTTATCATATCAAACAAAATTTCAGCGTTTCAACCAAAATTTATTATTTCACCAAATATTCCATTTTGTTAAGCAAAATTTTATTTTTTCAATTAAAATTTTTTTTCATTCAACCAAAATTTTTTGTGTTTCACTCAAAATTTTGATTTTTCAATGTAAATTTTGAACTTTTCAACAAAATTTTAGTATTTCAATAAAAATTTTGGTTTTTAAACCAGAAGTTCTTTCTTTCAACCAAAATTTCAGTGTTTCAATCAAAATTTTTGTTTTTAGACAAGAATTTCGTTTATTCACATAAAACTTTTGGTTTGTTCTTTCAATCGAAATCTCGATTTTTTAATCAAAATTTTGTTGATTCAACAAAAAATTTGTGTTTTAAATAAAATTTTATCATAACAAACAAATTTTCAGCGTTTCAACCAAAATTTATTATTTTACAAAAAAATTTCAATGATTCAAGTTTCGCTGGTTTTGAAATTCAGTTTCGCCAAAAATTTAAATCTTTCAACCAATTTAGTTTCTTTCATTCGATATTTGTTTTTCAAAGTAAATTTTGATCTTGAATCAATAAAAATTTCCTTAATTATTCAACTAAAAATACTAATTTTTAGTTGAATATTTAAGGAAATTTCGATCCAAAATGAAAAAAATCATTCCTATATTTAAAATATCCTGAGAATGGAAAAAAAGTATTATGTTAAGTTTCTTATAAAATTATCCACGGTTATTTAGAATGCTATTGTGGACTCGTTGTAGGACATTCGAATTGGGCCCATAAAGTCGAATAAAAGCTGAACGGGTAATGAGTTTCCGTCTGTGGAAAAATAGAGAGATAGAGGGGGGAGGCAATGAGAGAAAGAGAGAGAGAGAGAGAAACAAGTATATTCGCAAAATGAGAAGGAGAGTACGAGAAAAGGAAGAGAAGCGGTGGACCACACACACATCGAGCGAACGTGACCGAGACAGTACAAGTTCATATTGTAATGCAGAAGTATACCTCCGCAGTATTACCGTACAGTCACTTTAGCAAATTTCAAAATATATATATATCTCTCTCTCTCCACCTCCCAAGCATTTTAGCTTAATTGTTCTTCATTTCCGATTACAAAACTTAATTTATTTCATTAATTTCGTCACGAGTTGTTAATTTCGTTAAAATATATTTTAACTAAAGGATGTGTATCATTACCAGCATAATAATTCCTCTCGCTGAATGAGGAGCACATCATTTGAATTTTAATAATTATAATATATAATCATAATCAACCGAGTAGTGTGCGTTGAAAAGAATTCGGAGAAAAAAATTATAATCTTACTTTGACCTCTTAAAAAGTATATAACTCAAAGTCAAATTTTAAAAAGCTTTTAAAAGTCAAATTATTTTTTTTTATTTCATTCAATGTTAATTTCTTTTACCAAACATTCTCAGTTGAGTCAAATTTAATAAATAAATTTACAAATGTTAAGCAAAAAAAAAATAAAAACAGGGTTGCCACAGGTCAGGGAAGTCAGGGAAAAGTCAGGGAAAGTAAAATTGGTCAGGGAAGTCAGGAATTTTTATACTAAAAGTACTGGAAAAAATTGAATTTTTAAAATTCATGAGAAAACTCTGAATTTTTTTCCTTTTTGCCTCGTAAATTATGAAATTACCTCGAATTTTAATACAAAACCTTCAATTTCTGAAAATAATTTCTTTTTAAGTAACTTAAGTTTTGAAAACTATCATAAAATTATGACTTATAAATTATTTGATGAATAATTTTTCTTATTTTCATAAAAAATACTAGATTTATAGAAGAATTTTAGTTAAAAATACTAAAAAAAATTGGATTTTGGAAAAGTTACAAATGATTACAGAAATTCAATTATTTTCAAAAGTTAGAAAAATTCTTCGCAAAATTTCAATTATGTTCAAAAATTAAAAAAAAATTCTCGTCAAAATTTCAATTATCTTTATAAATAATAAAATTCTTCATCGAAATTCAATTATTTTTAAAAATTTTAATAAAATTCTTGTCAAAATTCTACAGGAATTCAATTATTCAATATTTAATAAATTTCTTTGAAATAATTCAATTATTTTCATAAGTAATAAAATTTTCACAGGAATTCAATTATTTAAAATACAAAATTTCATAAAATTTTTCGAAAAATATCAATTATATAAAAAGATTTTTATAAAATATTTTCATGAATTCAATTATTTTTATAAATAATAAAATTCTTCACCGAAATTCAATTAATTTTATAAACTTGAATAAAATTCGTTGTAAGAATTAAATTATTTATATAAACTTGAATAAAAATCGTTGGAAGAATTAAATTATTTTCAAAATAATAAAATTCTTCGCAGAAATTCAATTATGTTCAAAAATTAAAAAAGAAATATTGTCAAAATTTCAATTATATTTAAGAATTTTAATAAAATTCTTGTCAAAATTTTGTAGGAATTCAATTATTCAATTTTTAATAAATGAATTCAAAATAATTCCATTATTTTCATAAGTAATAAAATTTTCACAGGAATTCAATTATGTTCAAAAATTAAAAAAGAAATATTGTCAAAATTTCAATTATCTTTATAAATAATAAAATTCTTTATCGAAATTAAATTATATTTAAGAATTTTAATAAAATTCTTGTCAAAATTTTGTAGGAATTCAATTATTCAATTTTTAATAAATGAATTCAAAATAATTCCATTATTTTCATAATTAATAAAATTTTCACAGGAATTCAATTAGTTAAAATACAAAATTTCATAAAATTTTTCGAAAATTATCAATTATTTAAAAATATTTTTATAAAATTCGTCGCAAGAATTTAATTATTTAAAAAAAATTTAACATAGTTCTTTTTAAGAATTCAATTATTTTTATAAATAATAAAATTCTTCGCCGAAATTCAATTATTTTTATAAACTTAAATAAAATTCGTTGTAAGAATTCAATTATTTATATATATAATAAAATTTTTCCCCGACATTCAATTATTTTATGAAAATTTTAATTATTTATTTAATAATTATTTTTATGAATTATTTTTTATACAATATTTTAATCAAATTCCTCAATAAATGTAATTATTCTTAAAAATTTTATTAAAATTTGTCAAACGAATTCAATTATTTAAAATTTTATTGATAAAATTCTTTATGAGAATTCAATTTTAACAAACATTCAATTATTCAATAAATTATTTATTTTTTAATTTAAATAATTGAATTTTTTTTAGAATTTTCTAACAAAAGTTGATTTAAAAATGAATAAACGAATAATCGATTTATTATTATTTATAAAAATAATTGAATTATTGCAACGAATTTTATTAAATTTTTTTTTAATAATTGAATTTTTTTGTGAAATTGTACTTCTTGTAAAAATAATTGAATTCTTGCGAAGGATTTTTTTTAGGATTTTTGTAAATAATTAACTTATTTTAAAAAATTTTATGGCAATTTAAATTAGTACAAAACATGAAGAAGACAATCACTCCGAGTCTTCGATAATATTCGAATAATATTCTTATAAGTTGTTGAATTTCAAAATGGTTTAAATTTGAATATTTTGAAGAATTTTAATTCCTACAGAAAAATAATAATGATTAAAATATTTATTTAACAAAGAAGTTATTGATCTTTTTAAATAATTTTACAATTAAAGAAGTTTGTAAATAAATGTAATAGAAAATTTTTTTGAGTATCTAATAATTTTTAGAGTGAATCAGAATATTCTTTAGGGTCAGGGAAAAAGTGAAAATCAGTCAGGAAAAAGTCTGGAAATCAGGGAAAAGTTAGGGAAAAATAAAATTAAATATTTGTGGCAACCCTGAAAAATAATTAATTATTTTTTACTAATTAGTAATATTCTACAATTAATTAGCTTTTTCTACTAATAATTAATTATTTTCTACTAATTAGTTATTTTGAACTAATTCATAATATATTAGAGAGTAAAATATATTATGTACATATTTTTTTGCTATATATTTATAAATATTTAAAATGAAAAGTGGACTTTGCAATTGAAAAAAGGTCGATCCTCTTTTTGAAACGAAATCGAATTGAATAAATAAGCGGTTACTCGCATGTTTTAGTAATAACGAAAATTATTCGTGTTTTATAAGAGGCGAGCAATGAAGTTGGACACGCAGTTCGTCGCAGATAAATTTCTTATTATTCTCATGTACGCGGTTTATAATGAAATATTAGCGGGAGAGGTATATACCGCGACGGGGGTCCCGTGAGATGGGGCTTGGGTCCCAAATGGGGGGGGGGTGGGGGAAAGGGCGACGTCCAATGAAGGAGATGGAGACGGACAGATTGAAAAAACCATTTAGCAACTGGCCATTATAATAATACGTGATTCGTTTCTCTTGGTACAGTCATCCTTGCGATTCATTCCCTCAAATTCATCGCACTCGTAATCTTTATAATACTCTCTCTCTCTTTCTCTCTTGACCACACACAAAGTTAATCTATTTTCATTTCTTTATCATTCTCAATCTAAAAAGAAAAGAAGATGAAAACAACTTTTTTTTTTACTATTTTCATTTTATTATAGTCTTTCATTGAAATTCAATTAATTTTTGTGTTGAATTGATGTTTGAATTATTAATTTCCATTGTGTGTATAAAATTAATTGCATTTATTTATTATCTTTTTATTTTTGTTTATTTTCATGTGAAATGAAAGTTCATTATTTATTAATTGAAATTAATTATATATTATTAAATCACAATTCGTATCTATATAAAATTGATTTCAAATGAAGGTTTATTAATAAACTGAAAGTAACATGCGAGGGTTCCATCATTTTTTATTTATTATTATTTATTTTTAAAAAAAAATCACAAATTTATTATTATTATTTAATTTTACTCGTGATCATTTTGGTTTTGAAGAACTTAAAACTTGTTGGAAATTTTCAAGAACCGTTTAAAGAATAAAATAATTTAGAAAATAAATATGTAAATAAATAATTATAATATTCATAAAAATCATCGTTAATGATTTGTTTTATTATAATATTATATAATATATGTATAATATAATACAATAATAAAATTCAATATTACTCTCTAAATTTGAATCAGTAAAAATGTTTGCTAATTCAAATTAGTGACTGACATTTTGCTTTTTAATTAATAAATTTTCCTTACTAAATAATAATTTCTACTAATTTATTTATTAGTAAAATTTTCTAATTAAAAAGCAAAAAGTCAGTCACTAATTCAAATTACCAAATATTTTTTACTAATTTCAATTTAGAGAGTATAATAAAAAAAATAAAATATGATTATAATAACTCTTTCAATATTTTATATGAAATGGTGGTATTTATTTAAAAATTTGTATACTTCATTTTATATTTAAATCATCTATAAAATTTATTTATATTTAAAATTCATTTATATTTAAATTTTGTTTTTACTGTAAAGCTCGCTGTAAAGTCATTTACATTTAAAATTCATTTTCATTGAAAAGTCATTTATATTTCAAAAATTATTTTTATTATTTAAAAATTAATTTATATATTAAAATATTCAATAATGTATTAAAATTTTATTATAATGGAAAATTTCCATATAAGTATCTCTATATATATGTATATATAGGTATATGTAGAAATACGTGATGGAATTTTGCTGAAAAGTGTGTGGAATCGCTTGTTGTATATGATAAAATATCACATACAATGGTAATTAAATTTAATTTAATTATGTGCAAGATACGCGCATGTCGTGCTAATTATTATTACTCTGTTTAATCTTGGGAGGAAATTTTTTAAAATTAATTAAATGAAGCCATTTTATGGGGGAATTTTTTTCTTCTTGAATAAAAATAAAATTCTATGTGCGTCATTATCTGCATTTAATAACTGTTTTGATTCTTTAAAAAATGTAAATTTTTTCAGTTTATTAAAATTTTATAATTAAAAAAAATAATGAAAATTTTTTCAAAAAATCGAATAATTACAGTTAGAAATTATGAATTTATTATTTATTATTTAT